AGCGATCCACGTCGCTTGCGAAATGAGGGACGAGAAGCTTGCGAGTCATCATAGACGACGACGACGACGACACGGCCGGTCCGATGTTATTTTCTTTTTTCTTTGCCCACGCTCTTCGCCTCAATCTCGAGGTCGCTCAATGGTCTCGATGCTTCAAAGCAAGAATTGGACGTTATTTGCCATCAGAACGTGACAAGAACAAAGGACAGGTGAGTTAGGAAGAAAAAATGCGGGAAAGGGGGAAGGCAGGGGTGCACCCTGAGAAGAAGAAGGGGGGGGGGATAGAGTACAGCCGCGTGCATTGACAGGAAAAAGAGCGGGGGCTGGCGTAGTAGTGAGATTTGTCCCTTTGTTTGCACCGAAGACATTCCCACCCAGTCGTTGGCAGCACTCGAGCGCCATTACGAGCAGAACGATCGAGGTGGCACATTGCATAAGAGACGCCCAGGCATGAGCTCGTTTTCTGTATCGAGCCCGCATTTTCCCTTGTGCCACACTAGTAGTCGCTTTCAGACTCGCTCTCTGATCCTTCGTCAGAGCTTTCGGACTGTACGTGATCATCGTGGGCGCCTGCATGTCCACCGCTTGTGGGGGCTGACGCAGCTGTGGAGAGCAAGAGGAAGGGGGAAGAATTTGTTCAGCATCACCGTCGAGGCGATGAAGATGAGCGGTACGGAGAGTCTGCACTTGCCCACTTACCTGCATCGGGATTATCGAATTGCGACAGCTGGGCTTGCAGACGAGCGATCCTATCCGCCTCCTCATCTTCGTCCAAATTCTTTCGCTTCACACCTCCCGTACCACGTTTGCGTCCATCCACCGCCGAAGATTTGGTAGCCTTCTTATGTTTGGGTCGAACGACGTACCTGTAGAGCCTATAGAGCGTGCGTGGCGAAAGATCATCGATGTCCAGCTCGATCTCCTCGTCGTCCGTCGAACTCTGCGGCTTGTCTTCCGCAATGATCTTCAGCGCCCCGTCCAGCCTGTCGTCGGGCAGCTGCGTAATCTTCGCAGCTAGCTCCTCTTTCTGCTCATACGTCACCGTGCGCACTTCCTCCTCTACCCCATTCGACTTTTTGCTGGGCGGCGCAGCCTTCTTCTTTGGTGCAGCTTTCGCTTTTTTGGCTGCTGCTGGCGAGGCTTCGACAGCGGCTGCAGGTTGGGCTGCAGCGGCCTTCTTTGGCGGAGCTTTCTTCTTGGACGCTGCACCCGCAGGAACGGCACCTCCAGCAATGTCAGAGGCGGCCCTCTTCTTTCCTTTGGAAGTTCCAGCACCAGCAGGAGCCGATTTCGAGCTCTTGCTGCCTTTGGGTTTATGCAACTTGGCTTCCAACGCGGCAATCTGGGCCCGAATCTTTGCGTCTTCATCTGAATTTGAAGCAAAAGACTGACTCAGGACGTTGTAGACTCGCAAAGACTGTTCGAAGGAGACGACTCACCCATCTCTTCATCGTACTCCTCCTCGTCCTCGTCCGCTTCAGCGTCGACGTCATCGTCTTCTTCCTCGGGGCTGAGCGATCTGTGCTTTGGCATGCGCGCCATCTTCTCGTTGTATGCATCTTGCAGCTTCTGCCCAAAGACATAGACATCGTGTCCAGGAGCATTGAATGTGTAGCAATTCTTGAAAAGCTGGTTCATATCCGCTTCGAACTCCGCCCGCGACTCGTACTCCTTGGCCTTTGCGCGTTCTGAAACCATGAAGAGCGAAATGGGTTTCTTGATCATCTTGTAGTACGCTGGAGCAAAATCGAGATCCCGCGCTGGAAGGTCGTTGAAGACCCAAGCATAGTTTTGGATGGTCGGTTGCGACAGAAGCTCAGTGATGACCTTGGTGCAGTGCTTGAGCTCATCCGCGTTGACTTTGGTGTAGTGAGCCTCTTCGCGCGCACTTCCCGTGGTTCGACGTGGGCGAGTGCCCGTAGACGCGCCCTTGTTTGGCTCGTCCTGCCAAGGCAGCTCTCGGGAGGGTGCGTGGACTTCGCGCTTCGGCCTTCCCGTTCCATCGTCCACAGAAGATCTGCGAGCGGCTGGCGCAGCGTTGGAGGGTCGCCTGGCTTTGCTGCTCGACGCGGTGGCCACTGAAGGGGAAGGGGGAGGCGGATCTGCAGCTGGCAATTTTGGCAGCTGGCCATTGAAAAGATTCTCGAGCGTGTCGCCAGACTGGGAGATAGGATGCTCGGCGCCGTTGAACAGACGACAGTTGCTAAAGATGCGTCGCACGTCATCCACCCATTCTTGCGCATTTGCATACACGTCCTTGGACGGGTTCAGCCCGACCTTTGCTCCCGCGATGAGCTTGTCGTTCGGCCTACGCTGCAGCGCGGCCGACGAAAAGTTCAACTTGTGATCGACAGTCCGAAAGTCCATCGGCCGTTTCACCACGTCCAAATATGTCGGAATGCCTGCGGCGACGGGATCGACGGGCTCGTTGAACGCAAAAGCTTCCGGTCGCTTCATCAACGTTTTGATGGCTGCTTGCGCATATTTGATCTGAGCTGCCGTCATCCCCACCAGATTGGCAGGCGCTAATTGGGTGTTGACCACACCTGGCTCAGCGAAATGCGTTGTTGACTTTCTGTGCCGCTTTGCAGCCTGACTGCCAGATGCATCGCTGCCCGCTGTATGTGCAACTGGGCTGCTAGCAGGAGGTGGAACTGGTGGAGCCTGCGCTCCGGGCGCAGCCGAAGCGGGCGGAACAGCTGCACCGGGCTCCGCGGGCGCTGCTGGCTCGGGTGCCGTTGGAGGCGGCACAGCCGGGGATGCAGTGGGCCCTTCGGCTACCGGAGGCACACCCGTAGTAGCTCCGGCTTCGTACGAAGACACGGGATCAGCTGGAGTCTCAGGCTTCCGTAGTCCTTGGTTCACTGCTGACGCATCTCCAGCCTCGGACAAAGGGTTGGCAGGCGCTTCAGTGGAGGCAAGCGGCACTGCAGGAGGCTTGACGTCCGAAACTGCTGCTGGCGCTTCTTGGCCTAAAGGTCGGTCGGCATGCCGGCCAATCGGGACGTCAGCGCTTGATGGCGCTTGCTGATGAGGCGCTGTCAATGTCTACTCACCAGAGGACAGAAGAACGACGGATTCGCTGGTCGGCCCGCCGGTCGCATCCGTCTCTTCCGCTTTCGTCTTGGGTGCAGCGACCCCATTCGATCCGATGTGACCCTCGGCGTCACCTGTGGTCGGCTTCGCTTCCACCTCTCCTGGCACCTTTGCAACCTCCACAGGCTTTGCGACCTCCGCATCAGTATCCATAGCTGTAGTGTCCGCTGAAGGTTGCTGCTGTGGATGGGCGATCGAGTCCGTGGCGGGGATTGGAGCTGACAAGCTGCTCTCAGGTACTACCTTGGTCAGCTCAACTGCTCCGTTACTTTCGGTGGCGTGGTCTCCGCCGTTGGAACGAGGGACAGGATCGACTGGCAGATCAGATGTGTCCAGCGCTGGCATTGGAACAGTGAGCCAAGCTTGGTGCAGGCTTGGTCGCTATCGAGTCAGGGTACCCTAGTGTCACTTCTTAACCTGATCGGCGTGTGCTCGCAACGAACAGGGTCGATGATGGAGTTGTGCTCTGACCAAAGGGAGCGAAATGGTGAGAGGATGATGGTGGTGGTGAAGGAAGATGAGGTCATGCACCAAAGATCAGTGGCGATGTCCCGGCCGAACTTTATGAAGCGAGCGCGACTGGAATTGGAACGCGACCCACTCACTCACTCACTCAGTCACCGTCTCTCGATCAGTCACAGTGCAGCAGCGCGTCTTTGTGGGCCAAAGCGCGCGGCGCGTATTTGAGTGACGTGCGCAAATAAGCAGAAGCCAAGTCACAAGTCACGAGACGCGGTTCTGCTGCTTGTCCACGCGCGGTAGGCTGTTGGCTCGCGCGACGCGGCGCGGCGCGTTTTCTTCTTGTTCTTCGAGAAGGAAAAAAAAAATCGTGAGTCGAGCAAGAGGAGAGCGGGGCGGCAGAGGAGGATGTGGGCTGATGCATGCACGGGCGCGTCGCGAGGACGGTTGAGCGAACGAGCCAGCGGGATGCGCCTTTATGTAGCTTTGAGTGGGGTGCCGCGAGGGTACCTGTGCCCCAGTGCCGCTCCAGTACGCGACTGACTGCGCCAGCGGAGGTTCAGGCATCAGCACAGCTGAAGCGAAGCTGCATGTGTGCACATCGCAGCCGC